TTAACATGTTTATTCTTTTGTGGGTGTTATCTACAGGTTATTAATAGGTTACATTACACAATGTCAACATCGACCAAAAGAAGGGGTTTAGAAGAGGATGTGAACCGATCTTCTGAAGCATCCAAAAAAGTATCTATTGCGAGTTCCCACATGAATATTCCACCCGATGGGAATGACGAAGAATAATCTCCAGCTCAGGGAACTAGCATACCAATCACGACCAATACCCCTAGTTCAATCCTTCCCCCGCTTCCCTTAGAGGAAACTTATGTCATTGGAACTGGCATGCCTAGGTAAGTTGTATGGCAACATTTCAAAAAAGTCTTAGTTGATGGGAAGGAAAAGGCAGAGTGTAATTACTGTCATCGGCAACTCGTTGGTGGTTCTAAAAATGGAACAAGGCATTTGCACGATCATTATAAAATTTGTGCAAGGCAAAAGAATCAAGATGTATCACAAATGATGCTTGCGGGGATGCAAAAACAAGATTCCATAAAGACATTAAGCAATTACCATTTAGATCAACATGCAGGGAGAGATGATCTTGCTAATATGATTATTCTTCATGAGTATATATCCGTTGAGCATGGTTGACAATTTAGGGTTTAGAAAATTCTACAACACTATTTCACCCTCCTTCAATATTGTCTCTAGGAGAACTATTAAGAGGGACATTATGAAGATGTATGAAGTTGAGAAGGAGAAGTCCATGAAAATGTTAAGCAAGAACTGGAGTAGAGTTGCCATCACTACTGATTTGTGGACTGCCAGCAACCAGAACAAAGGATATATGACTATCACAGCGGACTTTATCGATGGTAATTGGGTATTGCATAATCAACTTTTAAGGTATTATGTTTTTTAATTTTTATGTTTCATTATTTTTATTTCTTTGTAAATTTTTAAGATAAATTAAAATATTAATTATTTACAATTTATATTGTACGTTTGTACATGTGCGTTGCCCACATACTATAGATGTGCTTTCTACGGCGTTGATGGACTGCTTTTATGAGTGGAGCATTGATTCAAACTTGTCTGCATTGACGGTTGACAATTGCTCCACCAATGATGCAGTTGTTCAAGATATTTTAGGTGAGCTTCAATGTTCCGCCCTTATGTTACATGGCGAATTTTTTCATATGCGTTGTTGTGCGCATATTCTCAATTTAGCTGTCTAGGATGGATTATTCTAATATCCAAAATCCGTGAAACTGTTTCCTATTGGACAACATCGCCTAAAAAGGAGCAAAAATTTGTGGAAATGGCACATCATGCAGGCATTCCAAGCACAAAGAAGCTAGGTCTTGATTGTAAGACATGTTGGAGTTCAACATATTTGATGCTTCAAACAACTTTAATTTATAAAGGGGTATTTAGGCATTTAAAGTTTCAAGATCCAAATTATAGATGTTAACCAAGTGATGAAGAATGGAAGTTTGCAGAAAATATCAGTGAGAAGCTAGAAATATTTTATGATACCACACTTGTATTCTTTGCAAAAGAAAAACTCACTGCCAATTCTTATTTTCCAAAGATTTGTGAAATTAGACTTCATGTGACTAAAATGCTAACATATGAGGATGATTTGGTGAGGAAGATGGCAACTCAGATGGATGAAAAGTTAAAAAAATATTGGAGTGTGATTCATGGTGTCATGGGGATTGCAATGATTTTAGACCCTAGGTTTAAAACGAAGTTGTTAGATTTCTTTTTTCCTTTGCTCTATTGAGAGGATGGTGTAGATGAGATTATGAGGATCCGAAGATTATGTAATGATTTGTATGTTCAGCATCAGAGTAACCACCGAGGCTACCAAACACATCAATCTTATAGTTTCATTGTATCCTCTAGTAGCTCTTCTCAGGCTGATTTTGAAAAGATGGGGGTAATGGCTAGTTTAGATAAATTTTTGCGGGAAGAATCTAGTATTGGCCAAGAAAAGTCTGAGTTGGATTCTTACTTAGAGGAAAAAATTATTCCTAGAACTCCAGGCTTTGATTTATTGACTTGGTGGAGGACATTTGGGTCCAAATATCCTATCCTACAAAGGATTGCTTGAGATATCCTAGATGTTCTGGTGTCCACCGTTGCTTCTGAGTTTGCATTTAGCATTGTTGGCAACATGGTGAGTCCACATCGTAATAGGCTTCATTCTGATACAATAGAGACATTGATGTGTTTAAGGAATTGGAAATGGGCTGACATCAAAGGTAAAGAAAAAGAAATTTTTGTTTCTTCTACATTAAAAATTGAAAAAACCTATTAACATATGCTAGTTGTTAATGTTTATTTTCATTGTTATGTTAGGCCTGGGGCTAGGATATGGTTCATCAATTTATGATGACAGTGATGCAGATGATCAGGTATTATAGATTTGTATTTTGTAATATATTCTTTTTCTTTCCTCTTCTTTAATCATTTGTATGATAGTTAAAATTTGTGTACATGTTACTTAAATATCATCTAATTTATATTTTTCACTTGTTTAGGAGGAAATTGAAGTGAAATAATTTTGATGATATGGATACTTTGAAAAGTTTTGGATTTCATATGTGACAGGTTTATTAATTTCTCCATATTTTAATTGTATGCAATTTAATATGGTTTAGATTTTTTTTTTTAGGTTTGTAATAATCTAAAATTTGTCTACAGGTTGCTTGTGGGCTGCACATGGAAATGGAATGTTAGGTGCTGTCTGTTGGTTGTTGATTCTTGATAGTTGATACTATAATGTATTGAATCTACTGAAGTACTGATGTGGATTGTGGGGTGGGTCTTTTTGGCATCTTATGTTTTGAATCTTTTGATTATAGATCTATCACATATTGTAATATATTATCAATTTAGTATGATGGTTTTTATATTTAATATATACATTATAGATTTAATTTCTTTTTTGATGATATGATCTTTATGTTTAATATGTATATTATATATTTAATTTTTTTATTGGTTGGTATATATAATTTGGAGAAAAAGATAATAAAACTAATAAGGATACAAAAAGACAAAAACCCCCAAACGGGGAGCGGGCTTTTTTCGGGGATTCCCTGAATTTCCCGAACGGGCTTCGGGCTGGGATCGAGGAATCCCCTTGGGCTTTCGGGCTGGGGCTGGAGACAGGGGTCCCCGGGTTGTGCCCATTCCTAATTATCAAGGACCTAAGTATTACTTTAAGATTCTTTTTTACCTAATTATACCCCAGGGACCAAAATATTTTAACCTATTTTAACCTTTTTTTGGGGAAAATATATGTTGTTTTAAATTTGTGAATCCTTAGAATAGAAAACTTGATGAGAATTCGTAATTAATTTCACTATTCTTTCTTATATGATTTTAGGACGTGTGCATGTGGGATAAGAGGAAGACCTTGACCAAAAAATACCATATTCGTCTTGATATGGTTGCTCATATTCTAATTAATAATTATTAATAAAATCTAGGATTGTGATATGTAAAATTCATAATTTAAATTCCATTTTCACCTTTGATTTGTCCACAGTAATTGGAATACGACCCTTTTGTTTCGTGCAATAAATACTTATTAGGGTTCATGAACAAATCCTATATCTAAAAAAAAAGCAATGTTATGCTTACAATTACGGACAAAAAACAAATGATAGAGTAGTCATTTACATAAGTTTTGTACAAATTTTGTCATTTTGTATGATTAAGTTGTAAGCAAAACCTTATTGAATTATATAAACTATTCCCTATAAACTGATATGACAACCTTATATGTTTGACACATCGTCTCCTCTAATTTGTTAAGTTTATCCCTAATTTAAAATCATCCTATCACATTTAAACACATCGGTTTGTATGGATTACTACCTTTGGGTGATCGAGTGGTTTGATAGGAACTCTTGGGTGTATTACTCAAGAGAGTCTTGAGTTCGAGTCCCTCTTCAGTTGCTAATAGCGGTAGCCACTAAAGCTCTTACCTGACTGGTAATTGTAGGGTCCCAAAGGATTAGTTGAGATGCACGTACGTTGGTTCGAAAACCCCTGATCATTAAAAAAAAAAAAAAATAGTTTGTATAAGCATGAATTTTTCTTTCTTTCTTTTATTTTTAATAAATTTCCCACTTTTGTTACCTCATATATACAACTTGGTATGATATTGTTGGCACTTAAAATTAATCCCAAAAATTAGTAAAAATTTAAGAGAAAGTTAANCTGTTTCTGGGTCGATTAAATAGTAATTACAACTTCAAAATTACCCCAAATTTTAAAACCACCCAGATTGATTTTCCTTATTTTTCATAGGTGGGATTGAATGATTTTTCTTATTTCTTTATTCGAACCAATTTAGGTATATCTCAATTAATCTTTCGAGATTTTAAAGTTAACAACGATTAGGTAAACTGTAAACCTTATCGACCATCCCTATTAAAGTTAACAACGATTAGGTAAACTGTAAACCTTATCGACCATCCCTATTAACAGTTGAAAGGAATTGAATTCAAGACGTAATAGGCTAATACTCTCAACAATCTTTATCGTCCCGTCCGGCCACCCATGACCATCTCTCTTAACAACCCTCGGTTAATGATTGGTAACTCTTATTTAAGTTTTGTCCAGGCACCCAAAATTCAACCAACTTTATAGAACGCTGATACTAAACTCCTGGAAAAAATTTACCAATTCTAATAAACTTAAAATAACATTAGTGGTCATATTTGTGGTTGGCTTTTACAACTTCTAGTGTTGAAGTTTCCAGTTTCGAAATCATCAGATTTACTAATCAAGATCAGTTGACTAAAAACATTCTTAAAATTAGAACAATGAAGTTCAAGCAATCGATTGCTCATGCCGCATTTAATGGGGATTCATGGAAGTTAAAAGAAACACCCTTTCATCACCTGTAATATTAACCTCTGTAAACGCAGAAGATTAAACCTGGTAATGGCGGTGACTTTCAAGAATCGAAGGGAAGCTACGAAGAAAGAAATCTGGCTTTGCAAACTCAACGGAATACCCATATTTATGTTGTATATTGTATGGTAAAGTTACTAATGAATGCCTTCAAGCGAGAATAGAAAAAAGGCATTATCAGCGAAACTTCCAGATTTACTCTTGGCCTCCCATGAATCAAATAAGCACTAACACTCAGCTTATTTGGGATTATGAAGGCCTCAACCCACCACCACGGCACCAGCACCCACCAAAAAAGGAAGAAAAAAAGTACATTAAAAATGAGAAAACTGAGCTCAAATTTGAACCAAACGGAGCATTTAAAGAAACATTTAACAATCAAAAACAGAAAAAAAAAAAAAAAAAACCAGATCTTGAAACTTCTGCTTCAGTGACCCGTCTAGGGTTTCAATTTTAAGTCTACTGGACTTGCTTCCATCCTGTGTATAAATAGTTCAGTTGAGAGTTGAGGGAAGAAAACAAAACCTAGAGCGCGTTGAAGTAGCGCTCACTGTACGAGAACTCCGCTTCTTTTAGAATTAAAATTTTTGGTCCTTAGGTGGGCCTAACTCCATGAAAGCCCAGTAAAATCTAAAGTAATGCTTAAGTCCTGTGTAAATGTTAATTGTCATATAGGGATAGGCACAAAGCCCGGCCCGTGGGGATCCGACCGACCGACCCGAATGAGGTGGATTTAATTAAATTATAATTAAAAAATCAATCTATTCCTATATCAATTTTAATATTTGAAAACAATATATACTATAATAATTTTAATATTGAAATCAATTATACATTATACAATGACAAATTATCTATAAGTATTTTATGAAATTTATAGAAATAGGATAAATAAAAACTAGATTAAATAATAAATTATATAAATATTGTAAATTATAATTATACATAATATGATATGCTACTGAAACAAAAGTTTACATTCGATATTATATATTATACATTTGAAATATATACATTATAAATTTTACATTGTTATATTATATATGGTATACTATATAGTATAATGTATATAACATATATAAAACTTAACAAATAGGCAAAAATAAAACTAGATAAATATATAAATCATTAATATTATATATATAAATAATATATATATATATATATAATATATATATATAATATAATGTAGAACAAAAGTTATACATTCGACATTATTTATTATATTATATATGATATACATTTGACATTTATATATATAATTGTATATTATAATGGTATATACATATTAAGTATAATGTATAAAATATATGTTGTACATTAATTTATACATAATAGTCTATTCCAATCTTACATTAATACAAAAAATGTATGAATTTTATTTGTGTTTGATGATTATAATGAATCAATAAATCATTAATATTATTTTTTATTCCCCATTGAGATTATTTCAATTCTATTATCTAATTGTTTGTATATTGTGATAGTTATTATTAAAATTTATATGTATATATGGTAGTATTTATTTAAAATTTATTATAATATATATGTATAATGTATCATAATAAATACATTTATATTAAGAGACATTATATATGTTATACTTATTACTTAATAATACATAATATTATATATAATATATAATATTTATTATATATGTATAATGTATTATAATTATTATTTGATATGGATTCATTATAATTATAACAAGGCGGATCCAAACTTTTGAGGGTGGGCATTTTAACAAAAATACTATTGTATAATTTCTGGATTTGGCCTACCCTAACAGAAATGTGTAATTAAAAAAAAATTAATGTGTAATTAGTTCTATTTTGGCATACCCTAACATAATTTTTAGATTCTTATTGATTATATTAATAATCATTATAAATCCTTAATTTTATTAATAAATAAGTCCTTGACCACTGTGGGGAGTATGGATCAGGACCTTGTCCTTCGTTTTCAATGCATCAAATTTTCAATTCATCTTTCATTACATATTACATTTTCCCTTGTTATGTTTTTAATAAAAATTTTGCCCTTCCTTTATAAACACAAATTATGCCCAAATCCATTCAACTCACGAGGGACCAAGTAATCAAGTTGAAAGTGAAACCCTAATACCCAATCTTGAAAAAGTGTACCGTGGTGTGCTCTTCTCTTCATCGTCAAACCTTTACTGGAATCCTGAATATCAGAATATCACCGCCTCTTCGCCGATTCCGGCCTCACATTTTATCGGGGCTCTGCTCTCTTCACCTTCTTTCTCCATGCCCTTTGCGTTAAGACTCAAGATTCAAGAAAAATAGGTTTGTTTTCCTTTAAAGTTCAGGCTTCATCAGTTTTGGTTCGTCTGAGTGAAGATTTATGGTTCATTTAGATTGTTGATTGAGTTAGCACTGTAGTTATACTGGAGATTTTGTGTGGGGTTTAAGGGTTTAGTTAATTGAGTTATGATTAAAGATTTTATGTGGGGGTTAAGGGTCTAGATTGGTTCATGTGATGTGATTAAAGATTTTATGTGCTTGAAAATTTAGTAATTGAGTTTATGTTTGCACTGCTGTGTGTGTGCAAAGTGCAAACTGCAGTGGAGTTCGCACAAGCAAATTGCAGTGCAGTTTTTGTTTGCACCTGCACTGCAGTTGCTTTTTTATCTGGCAAAGTGCAAATTGCACTGTAGTTTGCTTGTGCAAGCACGAATGTAATACACAGCTAAGCAAACCGCATAGCAGTTGCTTTTGCATTGTGTGCGTTTGCATGTGCAAAGTGTAAATTGCACTACAATTCGCACTTGTTTAACATGTTTTTTTTTTGTTTTTGCAATTGCAATTTTTTTTTTTTTTTTTAACAAATGTGTAAATGGCTATAGGGGTTTTTTTTGTAGTTATTTTAAAATGTTTATTCTTTTGGGGGTGTATCTACAGGTTATTAAAGGTTACATAACAATGTCAACATCGACCAAAAGAAGGGGTTTAGAAGAGGATGTGAACCGATTCTTGAAGCATCCAAAAAAGTATCTATTGCGAGTTCCCACATGAATATTCCACCCGATGGGAAGACGAAGATAATCTCAGCTCAGGGAACTGCATACCCTCACGACCAATACCCTAGTTTAATCCTTCCCCCGCTTCCCTTAGAGGAAAAAATATGTCATTGGGACTGGCATGCCTAGGTAAGTTGTTGGCAACATTTCAAAAAAGTCTAGTGATGGGAAGGGAAAGGCAGAGTGTAATACTGTTATCGGCAAATCGTGGGGTTCTAAAAATGGAACAGGCATTTGCACGATCATATAAAATTGTGCAAGGCAAAAGAATCAAGTGTATCACAAATGATGCTTGGGGGGATGCAAAAACAAGATTCCATAAAGATTAGAATTACCATTTAGTCAACATGGGAGAGATGATCTTGCTAATATGATTATCTTCATGGTATATATCCGTTGAGCATGGTTGACAATTTGGGTTTAGAAAAATTACAACACTATTTCACCCTCCTTCAATATGTCTCAGGAGAAATATTAAGAGGGACATTATGAAGATGTATGAGTTGAGGGAGAGTCCATGAAAATGTTAAGCAAGAACTGGAGTAGAGTTGCCATCACTACTGATTTGGGACTGCCAGCAACCAGAACAAAGGATATATGACTATCAAGCGGACTTTATCGATGGAATTGGGTAGCATAATACACTTTAAGGTATTATGTTTTTTAATTTTATTGTTTCATTATTTTTATTTTTTGAAATTTTAAGATAAATAAAATAATAATATTTTACAATTTATATGTTACGTTTGTACATGTGCGTTGCCCACATACTATAGATGTGTTTCTACGCGTTGATGGACTGCTTTATGAGTGGAGATTGATCAAACTTGTCTGCAGACGGTTGACAATTGCTCCACCAATGATGCAGTTGTTCAAGATATTTTAGGTGAGCTTCAATGTTCCGCCCTTATGTTACATGGCGAATTTTCATATGCGTTGTTGTGCGCATATTCTCAATTAGCTGTCTAGGATGGATATTTCAATATCAAAATCCGTGAAACTGTTTCCTATTGGACAACATCGCCTAAAAAGGAGCAAAAATTTGTGGAAATGGCACATCATGCAGGCATTCAAGCACAAGAAGCTAGGTCTTGATTGTAAGACATGTGGAGTTCACATATTTGATGCTTCAAACAACTTTAATTATTAAAGGGGTATTAGGCATTTAAAGTTTCAAGATCCAAATTATAGATGTTAACCAAGTGATGAAGAATGGAAGTTTGCAGAAAATATCATGAGAAGCTGAAATATTTTTTGATACCACATTGTATTTCTTGCAAAAGAAAAACTCACTGCCAATTCTATTTTCCAAAGATTTTGAAATTAGACTTCATGTGACTAAAATGCTAACATATGAGGATGATTGGTGAGGAAGATGGCAACTCGGGGGAAAAGTTAAAAAAATATTGAGTGTGTGATTCATGGTGTCATGGGTTGCAATGATTTTAGACCTAGGTTTAAACGAAGTTGTTAGATTTCTTTTTTCCTTTGCTCTATTGAGAGGGTGGTGTGAGGATATGAGGATCCGAAGATTATGTAATGATTTGTATGTTCAGCATCAGGAGTAACCACCGAGGCTACAAACACATCAACTTATAGTTTCATGTACCTCTAGTAGCTCTTCTCAGGCTGATTTGTGAAAGATGGGGGTAATGGCTAGTTTGATAAATTTTTGCGGGAAGAATCTAGTATTGGCCAAGAAAAGTCTGAGTTGGATTCTTACTTAGAGGAAAAAATTATTCCTGAAACTCCAGGCTTTGATTTTGACTTGGTGGAGGACATTGGGTCCAAAATCCTATCCTACCAAGGATTGCTTGAGATATCCTAGATGTTCTGGTGTCCACGTTGCTTCTGAGTTTGCATTTAGCATTGTTGGCAACATGGTGAGTCCACAATAATAGGCTTCATTTGATACAATAGAGACATTTATGTGTTTAGGAATTGGAAATGGGCTGACATCAAGGTAAAGAAAAAGAATTTTGTTTCTCAATAAAAATTGAAAAAACCTTAACATATGCTAGTTGTTAATGTTTTTTCATTGTTATGTTAGGCTGGGGTGGTATGGTTCATCAATTTATGATGACAGTGATGCAGATGATCAGGTATATAGATTTGTATTTTTTAATATATTCTTTTTCTTTCCTCTTCTTTAATCATTGTATGATAGTTAAAATTTGTGTACATGTTACTTAAATATCATCTAATTT